ATCTGTACATAGTTGTACCTAATGAGGCATTTTCGTTCATCAAACATTTCCAATAGCGTTGTGCCACATCAACAAACCTCATTTAACTGAATGTCAATATCACCGTCCATGGTCTTGTCAGCTCTATGTGAGGTTCAGGCCAAAATCTTTGCTCACCAATCTGCAAACCCCCTTTAATCTGCTCATATTATTTACATTATCAATTACACAATTACCATCATCACTGCAGTATCCCCGTGTGCAGATTACTCATACACATTGGGTATTTAGAGACCCTGAAACAACAGTATGATTTGGAAAGCCAATTTCAGAGCAGGAATCTAAAGAGAACGTCTGTTTTCTTAAGACTCTACTTTGCAAGGATTTCACGTCTCGGACTGTTGTTCATGCTCGTCTCGTTTTGCACACAGCAGCAGAGCGCTTAATCCAATGTATAAAGGGTTCTGTGAAAGCAATCAAAGCTCTGGAGAAAATCAAATGCTCTTCAGCCAAGATACACAAAATGATTCTTCCTGTTAAAGAGGGAAGGGGAAAAAACACATTTTTGCTTTCCAAGATGGGAAGGAAATCCAATTCATCTTATCAGTAGCCTTAACCGAGACACCTGAAACCACATTAGCCTCGGCATTTCATGATTTACAGTTAATATGGGAGAAGATGGAAAGTGAGGCGACCTTTTAATTTAAACATGCCAATCTACCTCTCTATGGATGGGAAATAAATAACTTGCCATTAGGTTTGAGTGTGAAAACCTGAGGTACAGAGCTTCACAATCACCTTGTAAAATGTCCTGCGATCTACAGAGGTGTGGGTGTCTCGTGCAGCCATTTAAAATCTAATCTCCAGGTGGAAATCCTTCTCAAACTAAATTTTACCACCAACTAAACACAGTATATAATTTCACTATCAAAGAGTGTCTGGAAAACCATTTGGGAATTCATCTAAAGAGGCAATATCCCTCAGCGGTTGATAAAGGAATTTCATTATGATTCTTCTCCCGGGTGATAAGATTTCATTTCTGTGACGGCAAGTTTTCACTAAAACATGTCAGTGAGGTTTATGACCACAGCCAACATATTCTATCAGACCTTCCTGTACAAGAACACACAATGTACACTCTGCTGGTTCGACCCTTGACTTCTGAGCAGAGCACAAAGGCATACAAAATAAGTAGAGGCAGGACAGGAACGTCAACATGAATATTTCACCTGTGTCCTTGGGCTACGTGTCAGCTCAGTGGAGTGGGCAGCCACCCTGTAGCCCTGGGTTCTGCTGCCCACCAGATGGTGGTTGCTGGGAGCCAGCAAAGAGCCCGTCTGACGGCCAGTGAAACTTACACGTGGTAGGGGATGTGTTCGATGAAGAAATGTCTTCAGACAGACTAATTAAAAGGCTCTTTTTTATCACACATGCCCATCTGTTACGACAGCCCAACTTGATGAAATGGCTAGCTGTTCGGCTTCACTCTGCAATAACCAGCAAAGCCTGAGCAAGCACTTTTCCCCTTCCTGAATTAAATTATTGAACTACATTGGTGAGATACTTTATGACCACCGATCTTTGGAGTGCCATTAGCCGCTCTTTAAAAGAGCAGAAGTTGCCAGAAAAAAAGACAAAGACCTCAGCAGACCTGAACCCCCCAGTCATTAATCTGACAGCTGTACTTAGCAAACATCCAAATAATTGATCTTATTAAAGACTGTACAGTCAATTCTTCCCCACTCCTTTGTGTGGAGCCTTTATCTCAAAATCATGAATATTCATTGCACATTAACTCTACATATCAGTATTCTAAAAGCATATTATAACAGTGCATCTAAACAAAGCCTTTATGTAAATGAGTGGTTATCTACAAGCCGCTGGGACCACAGGACTACAAGACCACATATAAGACAAGGTCAGTGCAAGCAGCTGAGCAGTTGCGCTCGTAGTCCTTATTCCTTGACAAGGTCAGTGCATCATGTACTCACCAAACACTATTAACCCATGAATGCATGAATAACTTCACGTTTTAAATCATAATCAAGGGGGGGAGGGGTCAATGACGGGGAAAATGACATATTATGAAATATGTGAAACGTCCACCTCTGCACCTGTGTGGTTTATCATTTTCAGAATACATTATTAGGATGACGCCACCGCAGGCTTCATGAAAGATAACATAAGACAAGGTGTGGGTGTGTGTCTTCAGCTCTGAGATGTTAATTCTCTCGCCAGCTCACAGATCAACCCACAACAGGCTGTTAACCCTTGACCTCCATTCTGCACTCCGTCATCGTCCAAACTGCACAGGCTGAATGAGATCACTCAGTAAACAATCAGCAACACAACTGTGGTGATTATGTACAGCAACAACCAAAGAGCTGATATCAGATTCATATAATGTACATCAGTGCGTTCAATACAAAAGTCTCTGTGGCATCAATGCACTGCTGAAGTACGCACAACGTCAGGCTCTCAGGTCTGGTGATTCTTGAATAAACGTTATAAATACTAAAGTACTAAATTGTTATTCAGTTAGGGGTGTAAATATATATATATTTAATTACTTTTATTTTATAGTCTATATTGTTATTGTAATATATATTCGCGATATTTCATTTTATGATAGAGTATCAATACTCTACAACACTGTATTTATTTGTATTAATAATTACCATGCAAATAACCATGGCGTTGTTTAATTCATTTTTTCTTGTATTTCTTCTCTAGTAAATACCAATGTAAATCCCTCTGTTCCAGTTGTAGTAACCTGAAGTTCAGCATGTAACAGTAGTGCGAGGTTACTATGCCATCAGTTTTCCTATAATTAAATTAAAACGGTTACATCTAATATCGCAATATACCGTATTGTTGCCCTGTATTGTGGTACACATCACATTGCCAGATTCTTGCCAATACACACCCCTAGATTGAGTGTACAATCACAATTGTTCAAATTAATTGTGTTCAATTCTAATTTACTGTACATATAGTAAAATGGGGGGAAAAAAGCGTAAAAGGTGATGTTGTCCTGGTGTTCTACACATGCCATTTGTCTAGAGTATGTGGATGTCAATAGTTATGACCCTCGTGAAGCCCGACCACAGTCTGTGTGCGAGGCTTACATCTTGCTTAACCTCTAATAATTTAAGGACTTCCCTGCACAACAGCTTGTTTTAATTACACTGAATAAGTGGCAGCATTTGGTCAGGTTTATAGGTCTTCTTCAAAGAGCAGACTGGGTTTAGACGGGCCAAGCTGTCGGTTTGTAGTGCTGTAAATCCAAAAACCCAGAGACTGCTAGCACTAACAATGCCTCGGGGCAGATGCAGGCCGGGCAGGGGAGAGAGTCAGGAGGTTTGTGCAGCCCATTTTTCTTTGAACGTAGTTACTGTTTGGTCTAATTGGAAGACGCAAGGTCAACTATGGTGACAAACCACCCAGGATATAAGGAAACACATGCAATAGTGTTTTGACAGATTTGGACCGAGAACTGTACGATTTGAAATGGCCTTTAAGTGGATAGGCTAAAAGACAGTATTCACAGTCTTCTCTTTGACAGGAAGGCAATAATGGATCGGATACAAATAGAGTGAGAATCAGACTGCTTTTGGATAAAACAAGGAGAGTCTGCAGTGGGGGAGTCAGAGGGAGGGGCTACCGCTGACTTTTTAGTGAACTCATTGCTATTCTAACCAAACACTCGACTCCTCACTAATGATGAGAGCCCCGAGGCAAAGTGGGCTGAGATACATGTGGTTGACTGTTCAGCAGCATCAGGCGTCTGCAGCAGCTCTGACCAACTGTTTCCACTCTGCACAGCAGCCTCCTAAAAGCACAGGTCTACTGAGTGATTTGTCAAAGTACCTCTGTTGTGTTAAAATAATTGCAGTCCTTAGCGAAAATGCCTTTTCATAAGGAGACTGCAACTGGCAACAATAGAAAACAAGAACCACACAAAAAATGTTTTCCTTCACAAGGGCTGGCAATTTAAAAAGAACACAGTGTAAATGTAATACTGTTATACATAGGAAAGTTGGGTTGTTTTTTTGTTGTTTTTTTTGCACTACAGTTGTCTGTCTAGACCAGTGTTTCAGGTTTCAGAATGCCAAAAAACCACTGAGCCAGCAAACAGAAATCACCCAGAGAATTTGATTTGAAACACAGTGGCCATCTGGTCTTGCCAGTAAGCCAAATTAACCTCTTATGGTTTTGATCAAAACAGAATTAACACGGAGGAGGCAAGATGCTATTTCACAGCAGGTTTCAGTTTCTAGCTGAACAAATCTAAACACGTACAGTGGAATTCTCTGCAGGATTGGATGTTTCACACTGAGCACAGGGCCCTTTGGACGAAGACAGTAATTGTTCTGCACCCTCTCATTTTCTCCCATTTTCTATATGTTTGGTTTTAGAGCTGTGTGTTGTTGGTCAAACAAAGAGAATACAATGTCCTCAATCTGGGCTTTTCTTGTGATAGATTTAAAAAAACTACAAAATGCAAAATGTATTATCTGATGGTTTAAATAAAAAGCATGCTCAAATATATATTGATAAGAAGAAATGGATATATTTCCTTAGCAAGAAAAACTATGTCAGGACAATTTTAAGTGAAAATTGAATTTTCTGGATGGGGATTTAAAATAATTATACACAAAATTATTTTTCAGAGGGTTATCTATTTTGAAGCTAAGTGGAAAAAGTCAAAATAATTTTAATTGTTAGATTAAAACTCAAATGAAAAAATGAAGTGCTTCCCAACGCTCCAGGAGCTGCAAGTGTTTTCTGTCATTCTGGTTGATTATACCTCTGTCCAGGTTAAAATAGGACAAAACCGTGTCAACTGTAGTCACAATGGAGACATGAAAAAGAGACCAGACCCTGGAACTCAGTTTTTGTGAAAACCACTAACAGAAAAAAAACATTATAAACAACAGTATAAACAGTGTAAATGTATTCTGCTCACCATTAAAAAACAATACAGAACAATATATACAGTGTAAATGTATTCTGCTCACCATTCAGAAGAAAGTAAGGTAGATGCACTGGTACAGGGAGGGATACTGGGAGACACGGTCACATGAATCAGTTGGACCGGGCAGCTTCTCAAAAGATGCAAAACAAAAAAAAGAGGGCGAGATGATTAATTTCCTTTGACAATAACGGGTAACTGATTTGAAATTCACTGCACTTTGTGTCACACCCCGAGAATATGTCAGGTAGATGCCGGCTAGTTTGTGTTCAAACGCAGTATTATAGTGTTCTATAACGCAATATGCGCAGCACTTTCTTGGCTGGAAAACGTGTAAGAAACAGAGAGCATCAGAGTGAATTTATGGTTTACAAGTTCTTCCAACGTGATGACACTGATGTCTATAAATCACCGGTTTCTAATTTACTGCTATCACTGGATTGTGTTGTTCAGATTTTCCACATCACCAGTGCAGGTTGGTGATATGAACGATGGCATTTGACCATGAAAAAAAGAGTTGCCTTTCGGTCAAATGTTCAAATACTATTTATATATAAGCTGGGATCAGGTGATCAAGGGATCAAGCCATTTCTATTCCTTTTAGCTTTAGATTTCACTCACACATTGAAGCCTCTACAGCGGTTCCTGTTTGGCTAAGATTTATAAGCTATCTGGTATTTTAATAAACCAAAGCAGTATATTTTATGGTTGTTTTTTTTCGTTCCACCATGCCTCTATCAGGTAAATAAACCATTTTATTACATTTTTACATTTATTTTTTCAACTTATATATCCTAGCATGAATGTATACAAAAGATTAACACATAACACAAAACTTACGTTTATATTAAGACACAGAGAGACACATTTATATATATACATATATACAGAAGGGGCATAATGGTTACTTCAAAATTTAGCTAGTTTTGCTAGCCATCTTAGATGTTTCCCACTCTAAATTTAGTAAAATTTTCTCTTTAACTACTCCGTTTTGCTGTTTGTTCTTTATCATCAACATTGTCAGAACGTATTCCACTTCCTTTCAGTTTAATACGGTCGTAATATTTCTTGCCGGTCAAAGGAACTACATTTAAGTGAAACTATCGTCACAAAACACACAGCACAAACAGCATCGGACGGTGACAGCACTCCTACAGCACAGACACTCACCCTTTTCGGTGAAGCTGTATTTGGTGATGTACCGTCGAGTAAACGTTGCCCGTGGGTTTGTAAGTAAAGAACTCATTACTTTAGTACCTGTCGTCGCGTGTTGTCAACTTCAGAACTCATTACTGTACAAGTACCTGTCGTCGCGTGTTGTCAACTTCATCTGCTGCGGCCCGTACCATTTCACCTGGCGAAAAAAGTAGGGGTGCGCTTGAGTTTAAATAAAAATAGTTAATTAATGTTTACAGAAAACAGTAACTGCACTCAAATATATGTGTGTGAAATCTTTTATCATGGATTTTATTATCATTTTTAATTCATCTGGCACTGTATTAAACATAGTATATCCATCCATCCATCCATTTTCATCCGCTTATCCGTTACCGGGTCGCAGGGGCAGCAGTCGCCACCCAAATCACACTGCACCGTACCAACCCCCCTAAACCTTCCTGCGGGTGGTGAGTCCACTGGAAGGGACCAACCGCCCTAACCGGGATTCGAACTTGCCCAGGAGGTGAACCCTGGGGTTCCACACCAATGACAGAGACATTGCCTCTAGGCCAAAGCGCCACAAACATAGTATAATAAATAAATAATTTATATATATGGTTTTAATGGACATGTCTGTAGTCTTATAGCATCAAAGGTCAGTTTTGTCCCACTGAACAAATTATGAATTATTTTATAAAACTGTTTGATTACAGTATAACTAAAATAGTATGGTCCACAGAAGTTGTTGTACTCTACAAAAGAAAAAGTTGATGTGTAGAGAAGCTCCAAGAGCTCCAAAACCAAGGCAAGAAAAATACTGATTTATCTTAGCAGGCATAACCAGCCACAATTGTACACCATGTGTACCATGAGATCAACTCAACCCAACATCTGCCACAGGCCATTTCCTGTCTACACTCCTGGTACAAAAAGCATTTTCACTCCTAAAAACGTACCTGCATTATCTCTGTGATCTGCAATGATACGACCTCAGCGCTGGAGGTTGCTATGGAAAAACATACACCTCTGCATCATCAGTATGTAGAACCATTTTATTCACAGTTACTGTACTGTAAAAGTTAAACACAAGCTGCCATATCATACATTTATACACAGGGTCTGAAAGTCCCGTACAAAAGCAAAGGGATTTGGAAAATATGGGTTTCGATATGAAATATGGCCTTACATACAATAATTTATTGAAAAAGTCTTGGTTTGGTAATAGTTATTTAATTAACAAGCCTTAACCCACATAATTAAAAACTGAAAGTATCGTAAAAAACAAAACAAAAACAAAACCAAAAACATAATGGTAAAAAATGGAGTAGAAATCATTCCAAAAAGTGAATAAAAAATCTCATGCAGCATCTTCAGAAAGGGCCTGAGACATCTTTGTAAAGAAAAGAAAAGAAAGTCATTTCCATCATAGATATAGAAATCAAACACACCAAATACAAAGCCAGTTTGTTTTACTCCACAATCATCGTTGATCTCTCTCTCTCTCTCTTCATCAGCCGTTAAATTTTCAACAAACACATTCGAGCAGCTTTAAAAGCTGATTTCATGATTGATTCTGCTAAACAACGTCATGCTCAGTTGTATTTGTTCACTGCATCATTTCCCAGAACACAATTATTCTGCAGTCATTCTCGGACACGTGATTCCACTTCCATCTGTCCATTTAGAAAAAGGAGCAGGAGGCTAAAACTGTGTCGTTGCCCTTAAGTCAGTAATGAGGTTTGTAACAGTAAGTTGCAGTTAATGTACTGGAATGCATAGAGCCAAAACAACAGCACTTTAAATTGTAATGGATCGAGGCCTGTTGACCTGTGCTCATCTCATCTGTGCCTCCTTGTTTTACTATAATTTTTCTCCACTTGAGGCTCTGTGATGAGCGCTGTTATCTGTTCATTACACTCTATTCACAGGCGAGTGTGGAGAAGGTTAAGTCTCTCAGGTTTGCTAAACCACCCAGTGAGGTACCGGAGAGGATGGCTAAAATAAAAATAACCACCAATCACTGTGGCCCTTGGATTGATATGTTTTGGCTAAATAATTTGTTCTCAGTGAGATAAACATGGACAAGCACAGCTTGAATAAGCCTTCTGTCATCGTCTATACCCCTGCTTGACTGCTGCTCTACCTTAGAGCATCCTCTGAGACCCATTTTGATCAAGGCAATAGCAGGGACAACACATTCACTCAGCTCTGCGAGCTTTTAAAATCCAGCCGGCAGGAGATGAATGAATACAGCAAATGTGATCGTGGATGAGATAACGTCATCCGGTTTGAAAATCTAGAAAACTGCAGGACCAGAGAGTAAAACTTAAGGCGCAGGAGGCTGAATGAAAATGGAAAAAATGCTGACTGAGGTTTTGAAACAAGAGAAAAGGCAAAGTCTGGGAACGCAATAACATTAGCTTATTGCTTTTTTTCTTCTTTTTTTCTCTTTTTATTTTTTTCCCTTAAAGGATATTTGTACATACCACATAATCATATAAATACACTATACAATGCAATAGAAAATATTTTTCATAAAAGCAATATGTTCAGGGTTTGCTAAGGTATACTTAAGATACCTGCACCATATGAAAAATAACAACTTGAAACAAAATAATAAAAAGGCACTTCCAGGCGTTGTTGACTTTTGAGTAAGTGATGGCATTTGTCTTGCCATTAGGACAGCAACATTTGTGCTCGCGTTTCACCTCTGTCTTTAAAAACCATGTCCTTGATAACGAGGCACTGTAGTTTGGTGGCGGCGATGTTCTCTGTTTTCATGGCACATTCCACTCTCACTCAGTCTCATCTGTCTCCTGTTGTTCTTCATTCCAGTGGTTGACTACTGGCAGGCTGCTACATTTCTTTTATCATCCTTCTGTTCACTTCCTCATCTCTCCACCTCGACTTGCTTTTTTCCCTCTCAAACTTCCACCTCGCGCAGTCCCTCCTGTGTGCCAGGCGTCGACATGCTGATGTCAAAGCAGGTAACCATCATGACGCGGGACTTGCATAGGTTGACACAGAACTCCAGCTCCTCTGTGGCCTGTGCCAGGGCCTCCAGATACTCCAAGGACTCTTTATCTAAATTCTGGTCCACCTCAACTGTGAAAACCCCAAAATGAAATGGTGGGTCAGTCTCAGTAAAGTTGTTAGGAGTTCACATTTGTTACTTTTAGGTAGATTCAGCTTTGACTTACACTCTCCTATCCACTTGCTGGGGTCCATCATCAGACGGGCCTTTGTGTCTTCCAGCTCTTCCAACAACGTCTCGTGCTTCACTTTCAGCTCCCTCACTTGCTGTTGCCTTCTCTCCAGCATTTTCAGCTTAGTGTTGAAATACAGCAGGCCCTGATGCACAAAGATAGATAATCAATTACAGCAACCACTTTAAGGCTCCAACGGTTCAGCTGACTGAGCGAGCTCAAAGTCAATTGAAAATAAAAAAGTCAAAACACAGTGATTCTGAGTCGTAATGGGTAATCTATCACTTTTACTTGATGTCATGTTTTACAACCCGACCTCAAATGAGCACAGCGAAACTAAATGAAAAAAAAACTGATCCATGAACAATTAAATAAAACTCAATTTGGAGAATGTTTGTCATGGAGGAGAACTGACTCACCTTGTCAACATCCTGGAATGGTTGCTAAATTAAAAAAAAAAACAAGAAGAGAAAAAAGGGTAGGAACATGTTAGTACATTAAACTCCACTTTATTGAACTATTCTTTATGAGTGAGCAATCATACATTTATTCAAATAAGATTTAGAAATGAAATGTGTAGAAATGCAGAAATAGACAAGTCATTCATGTTCAAACAGTAATGGCAAGTAGATAAAATCCAACGATTTTGTTTTTCTTAATTGAATGTGAAATCAAACATCCCTCTAGCTGATTTAATATCTTCTCTTAACAAATCCCTGCCTGTCTGCCCTGAGCTTGTGGGAGCTGTTAATAATTCACAGAAGAGGAGCCAGCTATAAAAATGATTGGGCATTTGGTGATGAGTGCTTGCTGTGAGTTGATTTGGGAGCGTGTTTGGTGCCGTTGAATTCATCACGCGTTCCCCACCAATCTTTTTATAGATCTTCAATTTCGTCTTTGTACACCACCACGACGGGTCATCACTCAAACCGAAACACAAACCAATTAACCCATGTCAGCAATTGCCTCCTTAACTTCTAACATTCTGAAGGCGTGCTGTCAAAATGCCCAGACTTTTAAACTCTGGGATTTGTCTTTGAGTGGACAGAAGGTCAAACGTCTGAGACATGCTAGTCCTGTACTTTAAAAAGAAACTGGGAAGAAGTGAGCTAAGACGTTCCCACAGCACAAGCCGGTGCTACACATGTACGGCATGTTGGACACCAATGTGACTAATGCAAAACATTACTCAGGCTTAGCAAACAAGACAGGACTGATCCTCGATTCAGACACTACTCCGTCTTTAGGAATTTCACCGAGATGAATTATTGAGTCCGAAGTCACCCCGCTCTCACCTCTGTGGCTTCTTCATGGCGCGAAGTCCGAAGTCACCCCACTCTCACCTCTGTGGCTTCTTCATGGCGCCGCCTCTGGAGTCTTTCCACATCATCAATCTCATACACCTTGATCTCAAATGGTTCCTTCAGTGGTCCAGACATTGGAGGCAGGTCCACCCACTGACCAGCCGTGGCAGCCTTCTTCCCCAGGGAAGATGTGTCTGGCAGAGGTGCTGGGATCAGGCGTCGTCTCTGAAAACCTGCAAAACATTGTTGACATCATCAGTGACATTGGACAACAGTATATATCAAGCTCTAAACTGAATATGAATGAGGATAAGAAATGTAATGGAAGGCTTTACATAAGCCAGCAGAGTTGCTGTCATTGCTTATTTCCTATTGTTTACTGTATTACAATGCTGTATAAACATGGCCTAGACATATTCAGAGGGTTAGTTCCTGAACAAGGTCTCTTCTGTTCATTTTAAATTAATCCTAGTTGATCCCTTTAGTGTTGACAAATCATTTTCTCCGAAACAGGATTTTCAAGTTACACAGTCTTGAATGTATAATTTCCTCAGAGAGAACATTTTAATAAAATCCTCATTCATAATCACTCAGCAAATATCTTAATCATATACAGCTATTTGTAAAACCCTTGTTTCTATTTCTCACCATTGGCTCTCTTCTTGGGATACTTGGAGTTTCTCGTTCTTCCCGATGAAGACACGCCGCTCTCACTCATGGAGTCATGGGCAGAGGAAGCGCTGCCGGTGGCTTCGCTGTCACGGATCATACTTTCATATCCGCTGCTGCCACCACTGTGGTAGAACAAAGCTGTCCTGCCCATAGCTGGAGGCAGCTCCCCGCTCAACACACTGCTGTTGTCACTTCCATGGCCACTGCTGTATCGCTGCGGCCGTCGGGGGGCTGTGATTTTACTGTACGGAGATGGCAGCATGGCTGTGGGGGATTTGTCTTCACTCACATTCACCCCGCTGTCATTCCCACTATCTGAGTCACCTGAACCTCTCATGTGTTTGCCAGTCGGGGTGCCCGTTGCTAGTTCGCTCACGCGACTGTTGGCAGCCCTAATGGCCTGCTTTGTGCCCATAATAGTTCCTCTTCCAGGCTTGCTACCTGCAGCAGCAGTTGTCCGAGTAGCAGATGTTCGTCCCGATGGAGGGAGGTTGGCGTTGGTATTTCTGGTCACAGGTGTGGACAGAGATTTATTGGAGGAGCTCAGGCCCTTTGAATTGTTTGCAGACAGTGAACGCGCCTTACTACCACCAACTGTTCCCATTGCCTTAGGGTTTGCAGAGGCTTTTACCTGACCAGATTTGCCAGTATTTCCTCCAGACGTGGATGACGAACAAGGGGCTATGGGTGCACTGGACGAATTTGGAACACCAATTCTTGGAATGGACCTGTTGGATTTGTTACTTCCTAAACTTGCCCCACTGTTCTCCCTGCTGAGAGCAGTTCTGGAGCCTGATAAGGACAGACTTTCACACCTTTCTAGTGACATTTGGCTGCCATAATGCTGCCCAGAGTCCCCTCTATGCCCTCTAGCCTTCAGGCTGGATGTAACTTTGGCTGTGTTGAAGCTGGACGTTTTCAAACCGATGGACTCTGCTCTGTGCCGCACATCAAGCTGCTCCTCTGATACAGCGGCCCTTATTCCAGAGGTCCTTCCTGTATCCCCATACGGTGACTTTAAGGCACTTTGGGGTAGCAGGGTCTTAGGCTTATGATCAAGACTGGACTTCCGTACTGGCGGGGGAGGAGGCGAGGTGCAACCAAGTTTCGGGAGGTTACTTGCTTTCTGTGAGCTAGCCTTGTTGTTTTTCCCTAAAGAGGAAAATTTAAGGCTTGTGGTTGATGCCATAATATCATGAGTTGCCCTGGAATCTGTGGTGGAATGGATGACCGGCACTGTTCCTAGTGTAGTGGCACCTCGTCTCAGCTGGGGCATTTTACTGGGCGGATTTTTAATAGCTGATTTCTCACAGCCATCGACCACCCTCTGGGATGAGGTAGATCCCTGCAACTTTGGCGGACGAGGTATGCTGTTAGTGTTGTTGGATGTTTTGCTCAAAGGTATGCCACTGGTTGGGTTCCTGGGAATTCGGCTGGTGCTGTTGGTTTCAGAAAACTGAGGTTCTGAGTGGTTGTCACTGCGATGCCAAGGATCCTCCTGTTTAGTCTCATGCCTTGGTTGCTCTCTACTGCTGCTGCCGCTACAGCTACTACTACTACTATGAGGGATGGATGAGGTAGGTTTCATCTTCCTAGGAAGGCTGGAGTGGACTGGAGTGGGGGACTGTGGTAGTTGGGAAGAACTAAGAGAATGAGCTTTACTTATTTTAGACGTCAATCTTAGAGAGCCTTTGGCTGATTCTGGAGATGGAGGGCACTTTGTCAAGGACAGTTTGCTGGAGGCAGTGCTGTCACTGTCTTGTTCAGAAAAACTAAATCCACTGTCATTCAAGGAGTTTTTGGCATCTCTGGGAGAGGATACACAATGGAACATGTCCAGCGAATCAAAACAAAATGTGGCCTCTTGACCCATCTGTTTGGAATTAGGAAGGAAGACTTCTGTGGAATGAGCCCCTTCACTCTCCAAGGTGCAGACACTAACTTCACTCAGCCAAGAGCTGATAGATGAACCTCTGCTATTGGCACACTCCATTGTTCCGCCCTGAAGAGGTGTGACCGCTGCCATGTTGCCCTCCAGTCGTCCTTCTGCCGTTGTGTATGCGTCAAATTCGTCATTAATGCTGCTAATGATACTGACAGGTCTGGAGCCAGAAGCCAAGGCCTGGAGAGAACAGTCACTGTTGAAGCTGATAATGCTGGATGGCCTCCCTTTATCTACAATGCTGCCTATAGAGAGCTCCTCCACCACTGTGAACACTAGCTCATCCTCTCCGTTTAGCTCTATAGGCTGCTGTAGAGTGACGGTGGCTCTAAGGATGTCGCGATCCAGACACCTTTCCCTTAAAGCGGAGCGAACCTGGCATACCTCCAATGGAGCCCTGAACAAATGAGAAGTGCAGGGTTCCTTCTTCTTTACAGCTTGGTGGCTCATTCCCACAGGTGGCATTCTGGTGCTTGATCTTTCCACAACGTCTGCATTCTCTCGCTGTTGTGAGGGGGGCGGGGCCGGCTTCGGCAGTCCTTTCTTGTTGAAAAAGACCTTTTCCCGTACCACAGGCTGAGAGTTTAGAGCCGCTGATTTATCCGCATCAACCTGACTCTCAGAAATCAAGACCTTCTCACCATCGGCACTGGTTCTGCATACAGTGGGGACATGTTCCAGGGTTCCCTGTTCTTCAGGTATGCACGGTATCTTTGTATTGTCCAGTTTAGATTTGGAGTTTGGACTGCACGGCTGTGGTGTGGTGACAGATTTCCCAGTTTGTTTGGGTGTGATGGCCTCTTGGTTGAGAGCATTGTTTACTACAGTCTTTGGTGAAGCACATCCTTGGCTTTCCCTTAGTTTTTCAGTCTTTGGGCTTGCCTGACTTCGCTTACCCTCTCCCACAAAGGCAGTGGGTTCTTCACTGCCATCTATACACTCGAGCCTCTCCTGCAGCTCAGCGAATGTGTTGCATTTAAAAAACTGGTCCCTGTCCAGAGGGCCCTCTTTAACAGACCTCTTTTTATTCAGTGAAGGGATGATGGGAACAAAAGCAGGTGGCCCTTCATTGTCACTAAGTTCTCTGTCTGAAATCGCAGTCCCCCCGGGCCCCACATAAATGACAGTATCGCAGGACTGCTCACTACTGGAGGAGTAGTCTGGGTCACTGAGAAAAGCAGGCAGTTCTGGATCCAGGGCTACTGTTCGAGGGTGAAAGGGCCTGAGGTGTGGTGGCCTGCGGATTCTGCCTTCCTCGCAAGAACTCTCTCCCCCTGAAGAGCTGGATGCATACTGCAAAGCAGAGACAAAGGAGTCGTTAGTCTTCTTGGATTTAAATACGATCTCATTATGTAATGACAGCAACGTCATTTTATTTTTGAAAAATGTTAATGAAATAATCCAGTCATTTTATGGACCAGTTTAAACTAAGCAATAAAATACTGGCTAAAATTAATCCTAGGGTGACCGTGCACTTAATCAATAGTCACACAGAAATTAATGTCAATGATATAAATTGCTACATGTGGACTGCACTGTGATTAAAGCAGCCACCAATGTCAAATAAATACATGCTGTCACTCCAGCTAATTATCTGGAGCAATATTTTCCTAATCCCAGAGAATGCCTTGCACAGTTCTTTAGGCAGTAGTATTGATTACATGATTATGTGGTGCAAAGCTGAGACAAACTAGCTTTGAGTTACTGCACTAATAATCTTTCATTTGCAGGAGCGCGCACACATTCATTTGCTTGATAGCTCTGAAGACGCACGAGAGCAAGAAATATGACGAGTACAATAAAAGTTGCACTTGTACGTTGTGAATATAATTGCTATATGAGCAGCAGTTAGGAATGTGATGTTAAATACAAATTTCACTGCATTACAAAATGATTGTAAATATTCTAACGTATTATTATAATATTATTTAGCATTAATAAAAGTAAAATTGTTGTCACTGGATTTCAATAGATTTTTTTTTTTTAATCCCTGCATATGTTTCACCAGATTTATCAGTGTGTTACCTTGGATTTTTTCTTTCGCATGCGGTGTATCCGCGATGCCAGCTGGATTGTGGTGAGTGAGTCAGCATAGTTGGCAGGGGAGTCAGAGATGTGGGCGATCATGGTGGTTCTGCAGTTGATGTTGCCAAGGGACTCCCTCAACAGCATTGTCAGTTTGCTTTCCCTGGGGGATACATTGAGTAAACAGCATAGCCATAATCAAAATTACAGTGGAGCTAGCCGACATGACTGGCAGGAGAGGCTAACGAGTCCTCTCCAGTGACACGTCATTAATCGTTTTTTTACCTGAGGAATTACAGTATAATCTTATAACAGCGGCGGAAGTAATTGTACGAGGCTATCTCGGTAATCTAAATTATCACACGACAGATTGGCAAGGAGGATCGTAATTAATCATAGTCTGTGGAGGCAAAATAAATAAGAGGGTGTTCAATGACTGGTAATTGACTTACCTGTAAGGTACATGCTTTGCTCCATTTGTTAACGCCATGATGACATTTCCCAGTGCGTTCAGAGACAGACACAAGCCTCCCCCTCCATCTCTGCTCTTACTCGGGACCTTCTCACAGCTTCCCAGGTCGATGAGGTGCAGTCTGCTCCGTCCACCTGACACTGCGCCAACGACAGAGGAATAACCAGATGAGCGCAGTGCAGACACTCCCTCCCTGAAGTCACTTCCTTTAATGAGGAGCGGCACATCTTAGCCCAGTAGACCACAAACAGTCATAGCTGTGTGATTTATGAGCGTGAGAGGTTTGAAATGATTCAGATTGCTGAAACACTCGTACACTCCCTCGTACAACAAAGGTACCTCAATAAGGCCATCCCATTGGTTGGATACGAGTAGAGGAATGAAATGTAACGCAGTGACTTCTGTGTTGTTTGTTACTTTGTTCACTGATACAACAAGTGAAACAGTAAATATTTTTCTTTTCTTTATGACCAAATCATAAAACTTTATACAAAATATATATTAAGTATAATTTCGATTTACAAACCAGAAGTGTCAATATTTTTATTCAGTTGAAATATACACAGTGGTTGAATGCAGATGTTTATCTCCTCGTGTAAATCTCTGCCAATGTGTGGCATCCAGCCGTAAATCGGCTACAAAAGAAAAATGACATGAAGTAATGTAATTACTAACTTCCTCCCTTGCCGCTTTTCTCCATGCGGTACTGGTAAATGTGCAGCGTGAACAGCATGTGGGAGTTGCGCCGATCTTCCTCGTCTGCATCCGGTCTGTTGGTGCTGCGTGCAGAGATGGCTGCATCCAGGAAGAAGGCGGCTTTCTCAGCTGTGGGTGCACGCAGCTCACTCTGATTTTGGAGCTGGAGGTGGAGTGGGTAGGGGGGGAGGCAGGGTGAAAGTAGACAGGGTTCATGGTGAGCAAGGGAGACCACACCAGGTTTGCAAAAAAGGCTAGATGTGTGAGAGGCACAAGAATGAGAGGGGGATCAGTTAATTGGACCCCAGCACACAATTCCTGTCCATTAGATTGGGTCTCGGGGGCAATTAAAAGTGCAGATATTCACACACAGGGAGGGGGATTAGGTAAGGTAATGGTGCAGCAGCAGGCTGGGGCATTGGCTCCAACATGGATGTGATAATGATGAGATGCAGAAAAAGTAGAGAAGGAGATGAGAGGAGAGGAGGTAGACAACCAGCAGGAGGCACCGTAACGTGGGCTGCCAGAAGAAGTCTTGATCTTTTGAAGTCAAGGTCCGTACAGATCCTCCGAAACAACACCTGACAGCAACAGCTGTGAGTCCCTCCAGACCTCCGGTCTTCCACCATCCCCCAGTAATACTCGGATGTGCTGCGAGGATTGGCACTAAAACACGGCTAATACAGTAGATGCTGATGAATGCTGACAGCCGAGTCAATACAAAGGTAAGAAAAAAGCCATCAATACTTCAGATGGCTTTGAAGAAAATATAAAGCAGGGATTTAGGAGGCAGGTAGGATGAAGGGAGAGTGGCGGGGGATAAAAACACATTCATGCACTCACAGGACAAAGTCAAACATCTCAGAGAGGAAGAGGCAGATCATACACAGAAACCGATCGATACCAAGACGGCCTTATACTGTATAATCTGCAGGGAGAGTGAAAGGATCAGCGAACAAAAGAGTGAGGAGGTGGAATGCGTCATACCTGAGTGCCGCAGATGGGATCCTCTCTCAGGTGGATTCCCGGGGATTGGCCTTCCTGTACGCTCTCCGTTGACACCTCCGACAGCAAGTCTTTCAGCTCCTCGTCTTTTCCAAAGATTTCCACCGCGGACACTCGGACCGAGAAGCGCGTCCCCATCTTCTCCTTGCGTTCATTGATTAGCTTGAAGAGCCAGGAAATGGCGCAGGGCACGATGCCCAAGTTCTGAGTGGAACTGTCTTTGCCAATCATGGTGTATGTCTTGCCTGAGGATGTGTAAAAAAAAAAGGAGAGAATGAATGAAAACAAGAAGAACTGCCGGCTACGTGTGTCGCAGCAATCAGAAAATAATTACTTATTTCATCATTCAGTTGCTGACAAATCCATAAACACTGAAATTGGATGTTTTCCATGGAAGAGTTATTGTGTTAAACGGCTGAAAAAAAAAATCATAATAACTGATGTGGTTTATAGGTAATAGACTGTGAGCTAAATAAAAATCAAACACTTATTAAAGGAACCTTTTCCAGAAGCTGTTATTCTGTGGTGAATTAGAACAAGTGGAAACTGCAGCGTGAAGAGGAGGAGCCCTTCAGCTCCTCAACACTGGCCGGTCCAATTACTGGGATTTTAATTACAGACTGAGCCCTAAAGCCTGGATGCAGCACTTTATCCCTCACCCTCACTCTCACCTCTCTCCCCATTCCTTCACTTCAATCGCCCCCAGTCCCTGACTTAGCAGAGTGAGCAGCTAAACCTGATTGTGGACATTGAGTGTAGCTAACAAAGACCAATGAGGGGATTCTCTGGCTAACAAAGGCTCTCGTCTAATCTCTTGCCAGTGAAGGAGCTTACCGAGCTTCACTTGGCCGAAGCAGAAGATGCATCCGTCTGCACCATTCACCACCGACTGAATGACCTCGGCTACCGTCCCGGAGCACACCTCCGCCTGTGGAAAAGAAAAAAAACACACAGACACAGCCAGCAGACATGGTCAGTTTTTCAGTTCAGCCTGTTGCTAGGAAGAGTGTTCCTAAGAACAACAACTCTACAACCACAACAAATGGACAAACAGGTGAAATTAAAACCAACACTCTACAACATGGAGTGTTATTGAAGGACGTACCCTGGTCCATGAGGAGTACACTGCTACAATATGAATGTTTTATACGGATTTCATAAAACTCTATTTTGGTCCAGAGGAATAAGAAATTCATGGTTGGGAGACTAGACATTTTCCATTAAAAAGAAATGTACTTTGCTCCATGCATATATGAGTCAGCACTTTATTAATCTGCTGCCAGCTACGATGACAGCACAGCAGGCCAGTGAACTGCACAGTCTCTACTGCGAGATTACTTGTAAGTAGTTCACCTCATGAAACTCCAAAAGTTTTCTTTTTCACCTCTCCTTGTGAAATCAGCTTAAAATCAGTTGACCAATCACACAACACTTTCAACAGAAATGGGAAACCATAGACGTCCATATTAGGGTGACCAGAAATAACTGAGGGGCATTGATCTGGCAACACTGTGGGTTATTTTTAGAAACCTCCTGTACACACTACATTTAATTTAACAACTGTTATGTTTTAATGACTCTGCGTTCCGTGTGCCCCTGTGTTTCGTGACGTGTAGTCCATTTCCACAGTCTGTTTCTGCATGGGTCCTCTGAGGCCCCGGCTTCTGCGGGAAAGGCCCTTTCACCATACATCACACGGCAAACAAGGCCTCTAACAGCAGAACAGCTTGCTGTTACTGTTAGCCACCAGCAGTGCTGTCCCAGTGGTGCAATTCTAGCTGCATGGTCTCAGCTCTGCAGTAGAATTTCGACTTGAGCCATCAGCAGATTACAGGAGGAGTGTTCTTGCCTCACCTAGGAGGCGAGGATAAAGGGATAAAGGATCTGAAGCTCTCACCTCTACAGGAACACTGTCCTACATTGTGATGATAATTTACCCCTAATTTTCAAGATTACTGCACCATGGGAAAATACATGGACTGTATGACTTTGAACACCTTTGCAGTGTCTGAACTTTTTTTTTTAAATGTGCTGTTTGTTCACAGTCATTGCAACAAAGTTACTAGAAAATAAACAATATCAAATATGTGACCTCTACCCAGGACCACACGATATAAGTGTTCTATGAAAGAAAGGTTGGCTATAACAGGAGTAAATTCAAACCATTCCCCCGGGGGCAGTAAAAGCCCAGCTGTCCACATGGGAACAAACGCCCTCTGACCTCAGACAGACATGTTTCTCTAGGCCACACCCTGTCAGCACCGTGTTGTTTGCCCTTGAGAGTCTGAACTCACAAACAGAACCTTATAAAACCAACACACACTCACACCGGCCCTTACTTGTGAGGCATCCTGGGTAAAAACAGCATCGAAGGCAAATATCTTTGGAACAGCCACGGTGGCAGATCTCCTGTGTCCTGAACCGGAGTGTGGACTGGACGCAGGATCGTACAGGGTCAGCTGCTTCTTCCTGCTGTCCACCTTCAAAAAGGACTGAGATTCTGAAGAGTCCGCGGTCTCCAGGGAAGGACAGATGCGCATCATCACCTTTACCTGGAATCAAAGTGAAAAGAATTAAAAAGAGGTTTAGAAAACAGGACTTCACCAGAGTGGTTATCTTTTGGTAGAGAATAAGAGTCAGCAGGACGGGAGTTTTGAGGAAAACGACATTCTGCACGATTCATCTTTTCTCAGGGCAGTAACAAGGAGAAATAAAAAATGCAGCAGTGCACCTTGGGAATTGCGAATATGGGTTAGGATCTAAACTAAGAACATGGCTCAGCATTGTGCATTAACATCACGTCCACAGTGTCAGAGTTGATGGACACTGTTGGTCGCTATGGAAACTGGTGAAGTCAATGGGTCAACATTGTCTAATGGTGTCAGACAGACGGCAAGGTGTGAAGTGAGAGTCATAGCAGAAAATGGTGGATATTAAAGTGTTTGAAGCCCCACGCAGAGGGATAATACCTGGAGTGGGTGTTTCTTTGGACCAGGTGCAGCTCACCAGCACGGGAGCATATGGCCCCCCACTTAGCCCATCTACTCCCTCTGGCTTTTTTTTACTCATAGACAGTGTTGAAAACAGAAAATGGACAACACCATCTGAATCATCATTGAAAACAGGTATAAAAAAAACCTGGTTTCAGAAGTAACTATCGAAATGTACAAGTCGGGAAAAGGATAAGGGAGATTTTCTCAAGATCAACAAAAAAACACATGTGGTTCCAATATGTTCTCAAGATTTCTAACAAAAAAACACATGTGGTTCCAATATCTAGGTTCTAGTTCTTCTTTTTGTTTTTTAACAAAGGTGATAGGATTTCTACCAGGTTCAATACACCTGGTCCCTGTGTCCAAGGTGGGGATGGGACATCAGGTGTTGAAATGTACCAAACCCACTATGTGTACTACTGCAGTAGTGACCCTTGACTAAGAGCCAATACGAAAGTGATTCCTAGAATATGATTCTATAATGGAAATGGATTGGATTGGATGGATTTATGAGCTGAACTCTCTCTCAATCAATACCACGAACACTTCCCTAAAATGTCAGTAAGTTCATTACCAGGTCATATTAGTTGCTCTTTAACATCTGTTTTCCTCTAACCTAGACCATGATTTACAGAACTATCTTCTTGTTAAGACAATAGGTCTGAAAATATAAAGTTTCCTGTGAAAACAGTAGGACGTAAACGTCACTGCATACGACCTGAACAACTGAGATCACCTGGGAATTATCAGTTCAGCGTCACAGAAACTCCAAACCAACTCTGTAGCATTCCTAAAGTCCTAAACTTTACCTAAGGAGCAAACAGTCTGTTCATTCCTTCCACAGAACACAGTAGAGTCCATCGTATCACCACCACATCATGCAGTAAAACGGACCAGTACTTCTATCTGCAGGTGTCGATTGCAGCCATCCCTGGCAGGCCTGCTCATGCCCAACATAACTGTCGTGGTTGTGGAGATGAAGTCATTCTCCCAGCTGTGTACGGTGGCACCTCGCTCACACAACAGCAATTTCCTGACTCTTCCACGCTCCTCCAAGGAAGCACTGTGTCTGTAGGTGTGCCTGGGTTCACGCACGTCCACATGACACCCCTGTCTACGATTACCCTCTTTGGAAATGTTGATAACTTGATATTGCTCAGCAACCTGATGGTCAGATATACGCTGCTACGGTTTTGTCCGCGAGAAGATTGAAATATATCTCCAACTGACAGCAGACGTAAACAGCTCGTGGGATATGTATAGCAGTGTTTGGAGTTCCTGTCAACTCCCTTAGTGTTTAGTGTTACACCTAACACTACATCAACAGCAGAGTTTCTACTGTATATCCTACAGTAAATGTGATCGGAAACCAAATCCTGCACAGTTTTAAAGCACGTCTGACGCCTCCAGGCACTGAAATGAAAACCTTAGAAATCATCCAACTCCCTTCACGTTTTGAGAGATGACCGTTTGGCTAGCGACTCGTATCTAAATATTTCCACAGATCTTGACCCCCGCACTCTGAGACAAAGTCACTGCAAATTCCTTTCTTTCAGTGAATGAATTCATCTTGGATTCCTCGGGCCAAGTGTGCACTCTCTTTACACTCCACAGGGGGCTGTTATCCTGACTGACATGTGCATATGCTGAGTAGATTACATTTGCTGTGATATTTAAAGTGGGCTTTACCATTCACAGAGACACTGTCTGGCAGACAGAGGACACCAGACAAACTTGTGTGTCAGTTTTATTTATGTTGTCAAAGATCAGATGTTGGGGGCTGAAGGGGATTGGCTACAGTATTTTCACACCTCAGACCCTGTGTTAATGGCCTCTGTTTCCCTGTCCTCTGATCCCCCACAAAATCCATTAGAGCGACTTGGCATTTCTCCCTCCACTCAACTGCCAATGCCTCAAGAGTCGATGTAGGTCAGGAGCACACATGTGGGAGCGGCCCTTGTATGAATTGAAGGAAACAAGACATTCAACTCGCTCACATCCAATTTAATAATATGAGCTAATATGAAACAGACAGAACCAGAGCTAACAGCCACTGGAAACAGCACTGACGCCACAAAACTGAGGAGAAAATGACAGTTCATACCAACTCCATAAACCATTTTGGATCGGCTGACCATTGGCTGACCATTGGCTGACCAATCCAAAATGTTCATCATGATGATCGGGTTCATCACATGTCCTGCACCTACGGCACTATATCACCGCAACAGCATTGTCAGGTGTCAAGAAAACGGAGTGAAGAACAAAAAAAAAACGACTAAATTATGGGCTACGTTCAGATTCGTTGTCTGTCACATGATCTGAGGGCCACACTGGTCCATTTCCATGTGGTCCACTCCTTGGCTGTGGGCCTAATGGAAGACAACAAATATTCATACTACCTGTGGTAGACCTCCACTACGTCAAACGTCTGTAGGACCCCCCCCCCCACCCCCCTCCCCGAAGTCTGTGTTTCAATAACACATCTGTGTACCTGGCAACAAGAGCCTGCATTTCCGATCCAGGTGGGAGCTAATCTTATTAGGGGACTTCTGTATAAATACAGGACGTCGGCTCCCCCAAACAATAGCTAATGAAGCACAAAGGAAGAATGTTGTGTTTATACAGCTTTGTTTAATGACTGTCCCACTGCTGCCAGTCTGACTTTCATCATTATCATTACACATGGCTGCCTTAAAAGGAGATGGGAATGACCAGTGAAGTCGAGTTTTTAACTTTATTCTGACTTCAGACGGAGGAAGCTGGTCACATGAATCAGACGAATTCATAACATTCCAGAGAGATTATCTGACTTCATCTCTGTGGACTGTAGCAGAAGATATGCTGCCTCTGGGCCACTGTGCTGCCACTCTGCACCCCCCCTCCGCCCCCCTTCAAATAAGGGTCTGTCTGTGTATGTAAGTGTGTGAAGGGTCAAGTGGGTTTGTATGGGCAGTCCATGTGGATGACGGAGATCAACTGCCCAGTGCCCTCTCTCACCTTTCCCATCCCTGGATTCTCTTTCACTTTGGACACAGCTCGGAGCAGGCATGGCGGGGCCGGGGGCGGGGACACCTGCAGGATCCCGCTGAAGTTGGTGGGGTAGATGGAGGGCTCCTGTGGGTGGAGCAGAGACGGCTGGTGCTTCTTCCGTTTTGAGGACAGGTTCAGCTTCTGAGCTGCCCTGAAAGACAGAAACGCAGGAGGTTGATGTCAAACAAAGTCATGCTGTGGCAGAAAGTTCAAAACAAATCCCAGCAAATTGCATTCAGTCGGATGATATTTTCCTCAGCAAAGAGCTCTTTGTGCACATTTGAAAAGGAATCGACTCAGTTTTTCTTTTTTTTTTAAAGGGTACACTGATACACTGTTGGAAATCACACAGTGATACCGTGACATAAAGGTCACAGCCTTATTTCTTTAAGCCAAAACATTCTGTATTAAAAGCTACAGCAATCCACGACTACTAGATTTTTGCAGCTCAACAACCTCCTCCTTCATCCCCCAATTTATTCTGTTTAAAGAACAGACTTGGCCAAACTGAGGCCCATGGGCCAGATACGGCCCACTGAGCTTTCTAACTCGGCCCGCTGGTACATGGGATGGTAGAGATCGATGCCAATCCATCTGTTTCAGGTGTTACATTGAATCGACTGTAATTTCTGTTAACGCCACTATATGGCAGCAGACATCAGATGTCACACATGATCTTTGATTTAATTCATTTGTTTTATTCTTGTACATATTATTTAAATTATATCCAACTATTACTGAACCGCCCCACCAGTCAAATGTGGAACCTCATTTTGGCCCATGAGCCAGAGGGTTTACCCACCCCTGTTCATAAAGGTCAATGCAGCAAACTCAGTTTAACCACATGTTCTCCTGTTTAAATGAAAATCCATTTCTGTATAAAAAGAACCATAAAGATAACTGGCATTTGTTTAAATGAGCGTGGGAATAATGAACTTATCTCTCTCAAACACAAAGCAGGACGGCCGCTGTTTTCCGAGGGAAGCAGGTAAGCCCAGCCCTTTCTTCTATATTTAAGTGTTCTCTTTGCAGACAAATGGCTGTGCGAGCAGCTAACAGATACCTCTGTTGTAATTGAATCTGGCTTTCTAATTAAAATCCACTGTCATCGCAGCCCGGTGTCTCCAGGAGACGGCAGAGAAGAGACAGAGAATGGCTCCACCACCAACTAAGACATCCACTCCCTGCTGTCTGAACCTCTGCCACTCAGAGGGCAGCACCAATATGTCTGCCTGGCCTGCAGGGACTCTTGCCCGAGGCAGAGTCGTTCCAGGTATGACATTGCTCTGGATCAGCTAACAATGCACCTCAGCGAGATGTTCAAGGACAGGGGGAGAAAGTAAAACTCCAGGGACATTGAGTGCAGTAGTATAATTTCAGAGAAATGAAAAGGAGAGAAAAGGCAGTTGTCGACATGAAGGCAAACGTTGAACAGAAGTGAAAGAAAATGGAGAGTAAACGATCCAGCATTTACAGGTAATTGATTTTTCCCTCAAAAATATACAAAAGAAAGAGAGAGAGAGAGAGAGAGAGAGAGAGAGAGAGAGAGAGAGAGAGAGAGCTAGAGAAGGCACAGGTACTTGAGTGCACCAGTGGCTTCCAAAGAGCCCAGCCGGAGCTCATTAGTCCTGAACCCAGCTCCTCTGGACAGGGAGGGTGGGGCTGTGCCAAAAACGTGGCCCCTCCCCTTTCTCTTTTCCCCACCCTGCACGCTGGAGTGACAACCTGAACCCCTCCTCTCCCCGGCAGTACCCACTCTACTGTTTGCCCCCTGCAGCGACAGCCCAAGAGCACAATCAGGGACACACTGCCGACTGATGGAATAATTATTGCATCCTGGAAGGCTACAGGAGAAGGGTCTCCCCAGGGAGCTGCCGATGTGTGATAGCATGTGAGACGGATCGTGTGACGAGGAAAAATGAGATGGAATAGATGAATGTGAGAGGGAGAGGGAGAGGTGGGGTGGAGGGGGGGCTACAGCCAGAGCGCACGTGGCACGTGTGTGCAACCAAGTGTGTGTATGTACATTTATGAGAGGCATCCACAGCACATTTACACAAGATAGATGTAGCCTGTCGCTCTCTCTCTCACGCTATTCTGTTTCCATACCTTTGTCATAAATCAGGCATCAGAAGTCACCGTAGGACGCCCAGTAGGGACAGAAGATGGAACTGAACTGACTCACACTGGTCCTGAGCAGCCAGCAGTGCTCACAGCCCAACACTGTAACCTTGAGATCTAATCCGCGCTGCACATGTGATCTTCCGAAGGTGGAGAAAAACAGATGATTCTGCCTTTTTTTTTCCTCCTCCAACACGAATGCAGGTACACAGGAGAAATTAATTGCTTGCCCCCTCCTCACCTCCCTCCCTCCCTGCCTCCCTCCGTCCGTCATCCCCTCCCCACCGCTGTCTCCGTCTCCCAAATATGTGATCAGTCAGTGAAAAATCGAGTGTGAAGTGCAGCTCACGTTTCTTCAACAACAACAGCTTGTCCACCTGTTCGCTCCCTATCCACATGCAAATCAGGCTGTTTACCTGCACAACTTAGTTCGACTCTGCTGCAGAGCTGGGGGTCTGAGCAGTCGGATTTTTGATGGAGTGCAAATTATACTTAATACTGAGTGTGTTTTTTTCCCTTAGGTAAAAAAAAACAACAACCATGACATAGTGAAACATGCATCAGTTTGAAAATGCTGCAGCGTTGTACTTACAGCTCTTTCCAATCCATTGTCTAGTTGGTGGTCATAGTCAAAAAAGAGACAAGTGATAGAGTTCAACTTTGTAGTCCATGGTCGTTTTATCGCTGCTCTCCATTACTTGCATGTGTGATAGGCCAACATAGTCTTCGAGAAATCGCAGCAAGGCGGGGCTGCTCACTAGTTGGGGATCGGGGGTCCTTTTTGCTGCAATCGCAATCATCGAGGTTCCACTTGGTTTCACAGAGGTTTGTAAGAAGCAGGAGGGGTGGGTAAAGGAGAAGGAAAAGGAGGAGGAGGAGGAGGAGGAGGAGGACAAGGCATGGGCGTTAGAGTAACCAAGCACCAGGTTGGGCAGGGCAGAGGTGAGGGTCCCCTGGGATAACAGTCGGATCACAGTGAGGGTCTGCAGGTAGTCCCCAAAAAAAAGCTTCTTAGGAGCTGAGAGATGTTGATGATGAGAAAAAGATCCTCCAGTAAAACACCCAAACCACCCCGCCACCCCACCACAATGCCTCTTCACCAGCAAAAGTTCAGCATCAGTTCAGAAGCTACTAAAAAAGAAAAGAAAACCTCAGCGCAACAGCTTCTTCTCCAACTCAGTTCTCCTCATCCAGTCTCTCATTCAGTAAATCCACTCTGGCGTGGCTGCTGTGGGAGGCTGCAGGTCCTGCTGCCCGTGTTCCTCCAGAGTCTGTGCTGTTCACAGGCAGAATGAGGAGCAGACAGGATCAACACGCACGGCTAGCCTGGAAGATTTCCTCGGGTGGCAGAGAATGAGGAGAATCTCATACTCTGGTTCCGCCTCTCTGTCCTTCCAATGCTGTCGGAGAAATGCTGGCAGCTGTCCTGCCGCGTTTTCTCTCTCATTCTGGCTCTCCCTCTCTGCCGTTGCCTCTCTCTTCCTCACTCACCCGTATACACACACACACTGCCTTCTCTCTCTCCCCTCTCTCTCTCTCTCTTTCTTTTTTCTCAGCCCAGCCCCTTTTTCCCTCTGACTGCCAGACGAGGTGTCAGCACTCGATTGCTGGCTGCTCGCGGCGCAATTTGCAAGTATTCTCTTTCCCATTCAACACTCTCAACACACACACACACACACACATGGACAGACACACAAAGGAAAAGAGTTTCATACAAACCCCGGCGCACACGCGTGCACATTTGCAGCCCAGCACACGTCACATGAATACTTAATGCCCACAGGAGCCCTCTCTTCTTTTAGGGTCCCACACTTCAAACAGATTTGGTTAGTATGCCTACAGTGCACGCCTGCGTGAGCGTACCAGTGTGTATGTGGGCTGCTGTGTTTGTCTGGAGAGCGAGTGTGAGTTTTGCACCATTGTTGAAGGATGTGATCAACAAAATGAGGCAGAGGTTCGTTCCTCAGGACAGAGAGACACGCTGATGAGGAGGAGGAATATACTTTGGAGCAGAGTGTGAGAACCAGGGAGGCACAGACTCTAATGCAGAGACTTGAAAAAATAAAAAGAGTGCATGGGTGAGAAGGGAGAGTGAGGAGGGTGAGGGGAAGACGATGAACAGATGACACGTTAGAAAGGCAGATTTATTTTGGCCAGCGTGAGGGAGTGCAGGCGGTCAGTGGTCAAGGGTAAAAAGGGGAATGGAAGCATGTGAGTGGGCGAATCCAGGGCTGGGAGAGGACCCTGTATTCCCAGGGCTGCCAATTTACCAGCCAGTCCTCTCTGCCCCCCCTCCACCCCCCAGCAGCCAGTCTTGTTTGGAAGGCTCAGGCTTTGGCTGCAGAGAGCCTGCCAGAACATATCGACAGACAGAGTTGGGCATGAGACTTAACAGATGAAAGTGCATTCAGCACAGGCTCTCCTCGACTCTCCCCGACTCCCTCCTTCTGACACACTAGCCGTTGTCTGAACTCTGCAGGATTAAATTCGGAGTTCAAAAAATACTGCGGAAAATAAAAGCCCCCTCCGTCTGGAGAGCGAGGTACAGTAATGAAGCAGCCTGATATATCACATAACCTTTATCTTCCCTGTTGCCACGGCGCGCTTACCTTTGCTGCAGTGTGTCTAAATTAATTTGCTGGAGGTGAGCTTATTTTCAGGAGCCAGATCCATCTCCTGGAGGCTCCACCGCCGTGTTCTCTAACGCTAAACCTTTGCCTGTAAACAGGTGAGTGATTGAGATGACAGCTGATGTGGACAGTGGTCTCCCTGACAACACCACCAGTCATTAGTCTACCTGAATGTAGTTCTGAGTGTTATACTTCAAAATGACATAATAATAGGAAGCGGTCACAGTTGGAAGTGTCTTGACAGCCTTTCAGCTCGATCACTGTCTCCTCGTGAACAGACCTCGGAGACAGATAATGACGCTTATGTATAAATGAGGCTCAGCCAGGGATGGAGGAGCGTGTGGAATGAAAGGGTTTTCTTTTCTGCCTTTGTTTCCAGAAAGAACATCTAGATTTCGGGGGCTTTGTGGAAGGAGGAGAGCAGGTCAATGTTTGGTCCGTCTCCCTCCTGGTCAGTTATCGCGCGACTCTTTCCTCTTAAGTTCCTCGGAAGTACCGATCCGAGAGAGAGAGTCATTAACTGCTCCACTCATTAGCTTTTGGTGATCGTTCGTCTCCATTTTTTAAAGGTCGACTAAATGCTACTTTGGAATCTGACTTTTTCATAGGTGATCATCACTTTGGCCACGTTTACCACCTCTGGCAGCGATTCATTTTCTGTTGTTTAAAACTGCAGACAAGATAAGGCTGGAGT